ACACACACACACACACACAGGAAAGTGCCGTCTTAGCAAAACTGTGGCGGTGCACACCAATACACCCTCCCATTCACCCCCACATCCCAGGAGCCTTAAAAATATAATTGTCAGGCCATATTTTCTGCTGGATCTCAGGCCTACCACACTTTCTATTCTTCTACTGTGCATTTTCTATTGTGGGAAAATGGGATGGGGGAGTATACGGAGTTGGGATGCCATGTAGCCATAACAACATTCTTTTTGGAAAGCCAAGGTCATCCTTTGTTCTACTATGTGTTTTCTATTGTGGGGAAATGGGAGGAGGGATTGTATGGAGTGAGATGCTATGTAGCCATAACAACATTCTTTCTAGAAAGCCAAGGTCATCCTTTGTCTCTGCACCTCCTGCACCTGCCCGGAACTGGATGGGTGGAAGCTGCCAGCATGGCAGTGGGAGATTGGATTGTGTGATGGACTTGTGGGTGTGGGGGACAGGATGTTGAACTTTCAACTGGTGGGGAAAACCGGGAAACTTTCAGATTCGGGTTTTCCCAGATGTGCCAACATGGCTCTCGTAATCAATTGGAACTTTGAGCAATACTTTGCCTTGTACTCTTGATTTACTTTTGGATGCTATTTGGAACCCTGACAATGTCCTTCTAGCACTGATGATGTTACCTAGTTTGGTCATGAAACATCTAAAGAATATATCCTAGTTCAGAGAGCATCAGGAACCCCATAGTCCCCATCCTCCTTCTCCTGGCAAGCCCCACTCCCTCCTAGCACTGGTGATGTTACCTAGTAGGGTCATGAAACATCTGCCAGAAAACCACACCAATCTTAGAGAGCACCAAGGACCCCACAGTCCTCTTCCTCCTCTCTCTCGCTCTGTGCAATCCCCCTCCTCATCCTTCTAGCACTGATGATGTTATCTAGTTGGGTAATAAAACGTCTGCAAGAAAATCACCCAGCTCAGAGAGCACCAAAGATCCCCACGGTCCTTCTCCTCCCCATCTCTTCTGAAAATCCCACACCCTTCTAGCCCTGATGATGTTACCTAGTTGGGTCATGAAACGTCTGAAGAAAATATCCCAGTTCAGAGAGCATCAGGAACCCCATGGTCCACTTCCTCCTCTTTCTCCCCCTCCTCCCTGAAAAAACCCACTCCCTCCTAGCACTGATGATGTTACTTAATACGGGCATGAAACGTCTGCAAGAAAACCACATCAATCTCAGAGAGCACCAAGGACCCCACAGTTCTACCCTGAGCTACAACGGTTCTCTTCCACTGACAATCACATTCACAAGAGAAGTAGATTTGAGAAGGGAGTTCCAGCCTCTTCATCCCATGTGCAGAAGGCAGAGGAGAGCAGTGGAAATCTATGGGCCGGTCCTTGGGAAGGAAGAATCACTGCTGGTAGCGAAGCCCCACCCTAGCTCTGTGGATGCTCAGAAGGCAGAGGAGAGGAGAGCAGTGGAAATCTATGGGCCGGTCCTTGGGAAGGAAGAATCACTGCTGCTAGCGAAGCCCCACCCTAGCTCTGTGGATGAGCAGAAGGCAGAGGAGAGCAGTGGAAATCTATGGGCTGGTCCTTGGGAAGGAAGAGCCACTGCTGCTAGCGAAGCCCCACCCTAGCTCTGTGGAT